TATAGTCGTTCTCTGACTTGAAGAAGTTGTCTTCTCTGTTGATGAAGACGACTTTTCCGGGAGATCATTAAGAAATTGCGGCATTGTTATCAACACATCATCATCTTCATAGTCTTCCTCAAGATTTTTACTTCGTCCTGTGGTTGTTTTTTTTATAGTTGTCCTCTGAGTCGAAGGAATTCTCTTCTCTGTCGATGAAGACGACTTTTCCGGAAGATCATTGAGAAATTGCGGCATTGTTATCAATACATTATCATCCTCATAGTCTTCCTCAAAATTTCCACTTCGTTTTGTTGTTGTTTCCTTTACAGTCGTCTTTCGAGTTGAAGGAGTTGTCTTCTCTGTTGATGAAGACGACTTTTCCGGAAGACCGTCAAGATATTTTGGCATGGTTATCAGCACGTTATCATCTTCATAGTCTTCGCCGTTATCCGGGCTTCCCTTTGAAGGAGTGGACCTGCCTGTTGACGATGACTTTATCTCAGGAAGATCATCAGGATAAGACGCCAGAGTTATCAACCTATCATCATCTTCATAATCATTAACATTTCGCTTTCGTTTTTGAATTTTTCCGAGGGAAGATGGCCCTCCAGGAAGATATCCACCCTCGTCTTCATCAACCACCCAGACGGCGCAGGTGCGACCTGATCTCGTGACAGAAAGGGTTCCGATGTAGTCATTAGCGGTCCCCGCGGTTCTGCATTCCGAAGATCTGCATCCGCGAATGGAGCAGTATTTCTTCTTCAACCCCGAAGACGATTTGGTGTAACAATACGGCCCTTTGGGATCGTGACCTGGATTGCGGCATTTGTTTGAGGCCTTCAAGAGAGATTCTTCAGGAAATAAATTGCCTTTTTTTTCTGCTTCTGGGATCTAGGATCGCGAGCGAATGGTTTCACTGTATTAATTAATTGGAAATTACTTTCAATTAAACTTACATCCTTGGAAATCCAGGGAACGCAGGGTTCACCTTCTTCACTGATCCACTGCGTTCCCTGATACAAATAATCTCGGGGATTGGACAGACAGTTGGGAGGCGAGGGCACCTCCACAGCATCATCCTCTCCAGGTGCACAATATAGGGCCCAATGGGCGATCACATCTTCTGACCCGATGCTGAACCACCTGAGGGTGCTGAAGACATGCTCCTTCGCGTAAAGAATCTCTTCATTTCCGTAATGCTTCTCAGAAAATAAACGCAAGTGAGGGCCGAAGATCGAAATGGTAAAATGCTTCCAAATCCAGAAGTCCAAGAGATTTGAACTAGACACTTCAGTCAATTGCTGCTTCCCGGATTTCTCCGACTCCTGGTAGCTTAAAGTCAATAACTGACTATTCTCGAAGGCGATCTAATAATTAAACCAGAAAAAAAAACCTTTTTTTAATTCGTAGTTTTTCTTGATTGGTAGCGCGTTATGTAAAAAAAAAATTTAATCAATTTCTGGGCGTGATTAATTATTGTAATTGAGGAGGATGTTCACCGTGAAACAGGGAAAGACCTTCCCCGGGCTCTGATACAGCTTTACAGATATTTTTTTATTGGCTCGCACTTGAAAATTTACGTCATACGTTGTATTGCTCCGCTGAAAGGGCCAGATCCTCTGGAAATCCATACCATAAGTCGTATGAATTTCGCAGGATTGGAGGCAGTAGTCGGTGCTCCACAAGACACCAGTCCCCATCAACCCATAATAAAAGAAACTGTTCTCGTAGAGGCCGGAGATGGTATTCTTCTTTCCATATTCGTCGATAAATATGGGTTTCACCGAGCCCAGGAGGCTCACAGAAATAAAACCACCGCCCCAGGTCACGGACAATCCCGTCCAGTTGGTGCTCCGGAGGATGCTGGGAGTTGGCTCTAGATCATCGTCATCCTGAAATATTTATCGGATAATTTCAATGAATTCTTTGAATTGTTATCGCTCACTTCGAACCCGGGGTGAATTTGACCAGATCCCGAATTTGATATCAGGAGATCACTACCCGCACGCCAGTCGTCCGCGAGGATTTTTGGAGATGTGGGGATGGGCAAGAGACTGAGGAATAATCGAGCTTCACCCTGACGACATAATCACAGAAAATCATCTAAATGTTTCTCAAATAGATAAAAAAAATATTAATAATTCGTATTAATTTTTTTTAGTGATGAGGATCGACCTTGATTTCATCATCAGGGTCCCACAGCTTCACCCAAATCGTCATGTTCCCAGCAGTCGAATTCATCGAAGTAATCGTCGAATACGTCGACGAATTCCTGGTGTACACCAGGCAGTCCCTGTCATCGCAGAAGGGCACGTCGCAGTATTCCCTCTCAACGAGCTCATAATCCTCCTCCTCGACGTAGCACCAAGGCCCCCCAGGATTGTCATCAGGATTTCTGCAGTAATTCTTCGCTTTTTCTTTGGAGGACTCCGGATAATTACGATTCGAAAACTTCTCAGTCTTCCCATTCACCGTTTTGTACCGCTTATTCCAGGACTTGCATTTTCTCCCAGAGGATGATGTCTCTCGGCTTCCACCGTACTCTGCACCACCACCGGTGATTCTACATTCTTAATTGATTTGTTACTGTTAATTTAATAATTCGGGTTTATGAATATTTCATCCGGAATTACCACCGAAATTGCAGAGGGGAATACCGCACTCGTCGTCGATTAAACTAGGATCTGTGGTGTAGCACCAAGGACCTCTGGCATCTCCTGTCGGATTTCTACAATAATTTTTCGCGAAACGCATCGATTGCTCCGGAAAATCCCCGTCCTTCAACGCGGGATTGACCTTGAATCCAAAAAACGATAAATTCTTATTCCCTCAAAATTTATTCAAGTCTACATTTTTTTTTTAATCAATAATAATTGGTCTATGAATTATTTCAATTATTTGTTTTATTATTATCATTATATATTTTATTTCATCTCAATTATTAAATTATAATATTATTATTGTTATTATTATTATATTTAAAAAATCGGTAGATTGTCGAATTTATCGTTTATAAAATTCTTGAAAAATCGATATTTTTAACTCACGTCGTGGAGTTGATCTTCCCCATGCCAAAATTGACACCTGATTCCTCCGGAAGTCTCGTAAGTCCTCCCCCGATATTCAGTCCCAAATTGCGAGACTTTGCAAAATTCCAAGTCCGTCCTCGTCGCATTTTTCACTACTTCCCATCGAAAATGTAATTAATCTCCCAAAATTTATCCTAAATACTCACATTTTGAGCCGTCAATCCTCGTAAGGACGGAAAATAATTCAACGGCGATAAACAAATTGTATTTTGAGCGCATTCCCGCCAGTGGTCGCGCCTTCATTGAAGGCCGCCTTGAGGGAGATCTGTCAAACAACCTGGAGATAACCTGCCCCTCGAAGATGGTGATATACGGTGTTTATATCGTCTCGAAATCCGGGGGATTGATATTCAATCACGACCACAATGTACCGAAAATCGAGCACGAGAGAATTTTTAATTATCCCCTGGATGTCAAGTTGATTTATGAAAATAAAAAAATTGTCGTGGCCTTTGGACAACGCGATGGAATCAATGGTGAGTACCCCCACAATTTATTACACAAATAAATAAATGAACGGGTCGAGTATAAAAAAATTCAAGATTTTTTATTTATTAAATTATCAAGAATTTTTACGACATTTTTATTTTATTCTTTCAACGGCTAATTTATAATACATTAGATGTGTATATTAAATAATATATATATGTCTCTATGGAGAAATGATATTTAAATATTTTTTAAATATCACCTTTTTTACATAAATTTCTGTTATTTTGTACTAGAACAAATTTTTTTATTTCAGTTGGACACGTACTGATGTCAGTGAACGGATCTTCCTTGACAGGTAATCAGCTGGAGGATGGTCGTGATGTCCTTGAAGTGCTGGAAGATCCTCAGAATTTTCCCATAACCCTGAAATTCAGTCGAGCAAAAATGACGACGAACGAGAAGATCTTCCTGGCGTCGATGTTCTATCCCCTGTTTGCGATAGCCAGTCAGCTGAGCCCTGAGCCGAGGTGTTCAGGGATCGAGGTGCTGGAGGCTGATACCTTCAGGCTGTACTGCTACCAGACCCTGACTGGTGTGAAATTCATGGTCGTGGCAGAACCCTCACAACCTGGTATGGAAATTCTCACGAAGAGGGTGTACGAACTCTACGCGGATTACGCCCTCAAGAATCCATTCTACTCCCTGGAGATGCCCATCAGGTGCGAACTCTTCGAGACCAACCTGGTGACACTTTTGGAGACTGTCGAAAAGTCTGGGATAAGCAGTGTTTAATGATTAACTCTTAAACTTCTTATATTCTACATTTATGTGACATAAAGGTGTAAATAATCTCTTATTAATCTTCAGTTATGAAAAATATAGTTTAATTTTTTTAGACTCTAAGGAACTTTATTCCAGGCTTTGCTGACGTCTGGCATCGGAAACTGCAACAGAATACAGAAAAATATTACCATCTTTTTAGCGTCCAAAGGTATTTTTTCAAATAATCCACAACCGATTGATCTCGAAAACTATCGATTCAAAGGAAAAATACCGTTAATCTTTTTTGGAGCTGATAAAATTTTCCATAAAAAAGATTTTTTGATATTTTCTCCTGGAATCCATATTTTTCAAAATAAATCCGTATTTAAAGAAAATTTGAGAATTCAATCGATTTCACTTCACCGTTTCAACTGAAAAAAAAATTACCCTGGAAGTGATGTCATCTTCACAGGCTGTTCGTATCCGCCCGGAAGTAGCGGGAGAGTCAAACCGAAAGAGCCTATTGGCGGTGGTCTCGCTCCTGGCGGCGAGAACTGCATTTTTAATAGCAAAAAAAATAGAAGAAGCCAAAAAAAGTGGGGGTTCTCCGACGGCTTTCGAGGAGAATACAGCCCTGGGATTAGGAGCATCCTTCAAAAGTGAGACATTGAACTCCTGAGGGATGTCCGCGAACCCAGGGATCTTGTATACCCCAGGTCCCCGACTGTAAACAGTCCCAGTGGGAGAGTAGATCATCTCCTCGAGGGTGAATAACCCCAAGCCCTGCACAAATCCTCCCTCAACCTGACCAATATCAATAGCAGGGTTCAAACTATCCCCCAGATCCATAACGATGTCTGTCCGCAGGACCTGGTGATCCCCCGTGAGACAGTCGATCTCCACCTCGCTGCAGGCAACGCCATACGTGAAATAGTTGAAAGCCATCCCCTCGTTCTTATCGAAATTGTACCCGATGTCAGGGGTTCTGTAGAAACCACTGGCACTCAGGCTGATTCTCTCGAAATAAGCAATCGTCACCCACTGTTCCCAGGTCTTGTCCGGGTTCGCGTCAATGATCGGCTGGAGGCGCGCCATTATCGTGTTGCAGGCGTTCATCACAGCCATTCCATTCAGATCTGATCCAGCGCTGGCAGCTGTTGCGGATGTGTTAGGTACTTTATCAGTGGCCGTCTCCGAGATGTGAATCTTGTCCGGGTCAACCTTGAAGATTCTACTCGCCACTTGAATCATCTTCGTGTGCAGTCCCTGCCCCATCTCCGTCCCCCCATGACTAATAAGAACTGATCCATCTGTGTAAATGTGAACCAGTGCTCCTGCTTGATTCAGGAACAACGCGGTGAAGGCTATCCCAAATTTCGTGGGTATCACCGCGATTCCGCGTTTTCTGTAGCGATTCGCTCTGTTGAACGCATCAACTTCTGATTTACGGGATTGGTAGTTCGACTGGACGATACACTGCTGCCAGCAGCGCTCCAGGGGACATCGGATCAGCACCTGCTGGTAGTGCGTCCGGTCGTTCTCTTTGTAGAGATTCAACTCTGAAACCTTTGCGGGCTCGAGTCCGAGGTAGTTCGCCACATCCCACATTATATTCTCCGCAACGAACATGCCTTGTGGTCCACCGAATCCGCGGAATGCTGTGTTAGACGGAATATTAGTGAGACACGCGGTTCCAGTGACGTGCGTTACCGGAAACTTGTACGCATTCTCGCAGTGAAAAATGGCGCGTTCCAAAACGGAAACGGAAAGATCCATGGAGTACCCCGCGTTGTTGAATATCTCGATCTTCACGCCCTTTATTTTTCCTTCCTTTGTAAAGCCGACTTTGTATCTGTGCATGAAGGGATGCCGCGTACCCGATATCATCATGTCCTCGTCGCGATCCAGCATGCAGCGCACCGGTCGCTGCAGGTCCCATGCAGCAAGCGCCGCTGGTAGCGCCACCAGCATTCCCCGTGACTCTTTCCCACCGAAACCCCCACCCATGCGCTTCACCCTGACATTAACCCGATTTATTGCAATCCCCAGAGTGTGTGCAACGAGTTTCTGAATCTCCGATGGATGCTGGGTCGAGCAGTACAGCTCGAGCTCGTCGGTTTCCTTAGGGATGGCCAGAGTCGCGTGCGTTTCGAGGTAGAAGTGCTCTTGTCCACCCATCCTAACCTCGCCCTCGAGGATGTGATCGGACTCGGCGAACGCCGCATCGATGTCCCCGTCTTTGATGCCCTTTGGAGTGCCCTGGACAAACGACTTCGCGTCGATGGCGTCTTCTATGCTGACGATGATTGGCTCCAGGTTCTCGTAATCAATTTTGACTAGTCTAGCTGCTTTTTGGGCTGTCGCCTGATCCGCTGCGATAATTGCCCCGAGAATCTGGCCCTGACTCGTCACCTTTGACTTGATGAAGATCTGCTCGTCATGGATAACCGGACCCACCCAGTTATTGTGATCTGGGACATCCTCCGCAGAGTAGAACTTCACGACCCCTTCGACTGCCATCGCTTCCGTAGCATCGATGCGGATGAGTCTAGCGTGGGCTCTGGTGGACAGTACCAGGGCCATGTAAAGCTCCCCCTGGAACTGGGGTATGTCATCGCAGTATATGGCCTCCCCCGTCGCCTGTTTAAACGCACTCGCGTGAATTATCGGTCTTCCAATCAAGTCCTTCGGATCCTGATTTTTTTTGACAACTTGGTAGTACTGAGAGCTCTTCGGCGGCTTGTACCCAAATGTCTCTGCAGCCGAGGTCAGCCTCTCCATTGGCGGCGAAAGCCCCGCGACATCCCTCCGCAGAAGTCCCAAAATATGGACAAACCCCTTGAAGAAAAGACTCAGCACCAACGACCTGCGGTACAAAACCTGCCCCCCTGGAACCGAATCCGGAAGTGGAAACTCTTCGATAAGCGACTCGTACGCCATCTCCACCATCTCCGAGTCCCAGCGTTTTCCCACTATTTTCCCACACGTCTTCACCGCAAGCCGTGTCATGGGTGCGACACCACCGTACGCAACCTGGGCCTCCACTATCTCATCCGTTCCGTCCCGGAACTCAACATTCATCGCCATATTGACGATGGCGATGTCGTCATCCCTCCGTTTGGCTTGTTTATACGCGATGAAGTACTGGGATTGGGTCGTGAAGGGGATCTCGATGGAGATGAGGACCTCCTCAGGTCCCACGACATTCCGCCGATAGCCCGTGAAGAACGTGTGGTCCAGAGGTACCTGTCTTCGTCCATCCTTGAGACTGCAAAGATTCAATCTGGCTTTAGCCGCCATCAGCACCGGCACCATGTCAGAAATCGGACTGCCAGTCATGATATTCCCACCGATGGCACCGACATTTCGTATCTGCTTCCCGGCGAACCAGTGCGCCATCCCAATGATCTCGGAAAATATCCGGGTTCTGTACTCTGGATTGCGCGTCATTATCTCACGCATGAATTCCTCCATTTCGATGAGCGTGACGGCAGCGCCAATGCACACGTAACCCGACCCGGAGGTCATCTCCCTGAGCTCGGGGATCTGAGTGGGTTGTATGAGGACAGGGTAAACCAGATGCTTGAATTTCGTCTCAACCCCAACCTCAGTGTTCCCGACGATGATACGAGCCCCCGGGACCTGCGTCTTCAGGGTGAGGAGGGCTTCCAGCCTCACAGGTCGGTACCACGTGACATCCTTTCCCTTGATGACGAGAGACTCCCGGTCGAGGTCGTCCTGGAGCTTGAGTTTGGGCGGGAAAATGACCTCCTGGGAGGGATCGTAGGGGGTGAACTCTTTGGAATTGAATACCTCCGTCGGCTCGGAGGTAAATTGACGCCTGCAGCATGCATCGCCCAGGGCGCAGGCCGCAGTTGACCCTCCGGACAGACCTTTTGCTATCTGCGACTGCTCCCACTCCTCCGTGAATGTTCGCAGGCCCTCGATTATCGGCCGATAACCTGTGCACCTGCACAGGTTCCCTTGGAAGGCCACCTCCAGGTCGTGCATCGTCGGCACCGGCTTTGTACGCAGCAGTGCGTACATTGACATTATTATACCTGGTGTGCAGAAGCCGCACTGCGATCCGTGAGCTTTTGCAAGGCGCTCTTGAATCGGATGGAGCTTTGTTCGGGTACTACCCAAACCCTCGATCGTCGTCACCGAGAGCCCGTGCATGCTGCACACCGGTGCGAGGCACGCGTTCACCGCCAGATGAACTAGTTGTGATTTCTTCCGGTCATACTTGGAGACCATAACTGTGCACGCACCGCATCCACCTTCTGCACAACCCAATTTTGTACCAGTCAGGCGCAGTTTCGTACGCAGGTACTGCAGTAGCGTCCATTCTGGGTCTACAGACGCGTCCACTACCTGTAGACCAAATTTTCTTTTTTTTTTTTTCAAGTCAAAAAATTAATTAATTAAAATTATCACGAGCGGCTAAAAATTTTTTTGGGAAAAATTTTTTTTTTTGCATTACTCCCAATTTTTAGGAACTCAAAATTATTTTCAATTTCCAAAATATTTGCAATTTTAGTAGGAATTTTAAAAAAATTATTTGAAAATATTAAATTCAAAACATTGGAATTCAAAATTCCCGCCAATATCGTTCATTCGAATTGAGTCTCGAATAGTTAAACAACCGAATTTTGAAAATTCATAATTCCCGAAATTCCGAATACGCACCTCTTTTCCATTAACAAAAAAAACAAGAGTGTGAGATTTTCGTGGTTCGCTGGAAGAAACCGAGGACCTGGGAAGCACCAGGTGCTGAACGGGCCCCAGCTTTTCCTTCTCATCCTCAGGCTTACCCATACTTAAAAATCAAACAGCTCTAACTTTCACCAACCGACAATTACCCAATTCCTCCAGGTTGCACTCAATAAAAAACAAAAATGCAAAAAAAGTGATCAATACTTCACAGCACTATCACCAGAATGCAACAGATAACAAAATAAAAACCCCGGGTACCGATAACGCATCGGTCTCTTTAACAGTTGCCTCGAAATAATTCGAAACAACTAATTCCGTTACACTGACCTCTTCCCCTGGAATGCGACGACCAATTAGACCTGTGTCGCTCCCATAATCTCAAAAATATTTTAATAACTCATAAACCGAATACGAAAAAGCCCACACCACGAGACTTTATCAATCACTAAACTGTGACAAGTAAATGCTTGAGATCGTCGGGTTATCGTGGGTGGGGGGAGGTAATATACAGTATAATATGACGCACGTGTAATCTGCAATAATACGATCATCAATATAGTTCAATGCGTATTTTTTTTTCTCGTATGCAAATCCAGTTATTAATCCATTCGTCATCTAATCCTCGACTGAAATTATTGGAATGAAATGAATATATTAAATGTATTGATTTATTGAATCAGATATTTCGTAAATGACCCTGAGGTCTTTCAACGCTAGATAATTACTTATCGGTTTTAAATCCGAAGATTCTGGAATATTTACGGATTTTTGGAAGTGAAAATTTATGAAAATTGAACACTGAATTTTATTTTGATCTCAATTTCTTCTTCGATTTTTCAGTCATTTGCCTATTGGATTTGGATTAATTGAGATTAATTAGGATTTATTGACAGTAATAAAAAGTAATGTAAAAGACTTAAATTTTATTTCAAATAAACAGAGATTGAACTGAGAATGTGAGTGAACGGAAAAAATAGTATTTACAACAGAATACAGACGTCCTCGAAGATAATCTCTAGGTCGTGACAGATTTGTTTGCTATGACGTTGGACAGCATGAGCCAGATTGGGAGAATGACAGTGATGATGACGTTGAAGAGCCAATTCCCATAGATCATGGAGTCTATGATGCTGAAGACGAGGGCTTTTTTGGTGGCGTCGAAGCTTCTGATGAGGAGATTGATGAAGGTCTCTTCGGAGAAGTGGAAATATGTGTAGCCTGTCACCACGAGGGAGGCGACGACGAAGGGGTGGAGGAGGATCCAGAGGAGGTGGAGGAAGGGCCTAGATCTCGATTGGTCAGACCTGGGGCTGATCCCGAGAACTATTGGCACGTATAGGGCACCTGCTAGAAGAGCTAGAGACGAATTGTGCATTGCTATGCTCATGAGACTCGTTGCCAATTCCACGAGAGCTATTATGCAGACCAGAGAGATATTCTCGTGACTGGATCGCCTCTGGAGGTAGAGGAACCAGATGAGTGTGACAGCAGTAGTGCCCACAAATCCGTAATAAATCGAATTTTCAGTCTCCAAGTTGAAGTACGTCAATCCCATATCTGTGAATAGCTTTGGAAAATTCATGACGGCAACCCCGAAGATGTGACACCAGAGAACCTCTGAGGCGATGTATCCAATTTCGATGTTTGAATAGTCATTCGCCTGCTGGAATTTCAGCCAGAGGCAGAAGGCCTTAATGAAGAGAGGACCAATAATAGCGACGAGTGATGGCATGTAGAGTCCAATGGATATGAATCGATCAGTGGCAGCGAGAAGATAGAAGAAGAATGACTGGTGAAATCGCTCCAGGAGATTATTCAGTGATCGTACCATACTCTCGACAATTCTCCCTATCCTGTCGAAATTGACATCAGCCCCTCGTTGGATTTTCTCATTACCCTCGAGCGTGATCGCCTCAATTCCGTACCTGTGGAAGAGGCCGTGATTACCTGTGGGGACTCCTGTGGCCTGAGTCAGGACCATTGAGGCGAGTGTTTTAAAATTGTGGGACCATTTTTTGAGCTCGGAAAATTTCGAGCCGATGTCGAAGCGCTTTTGGAAAGTACCCCGGACCATTTCCCTCTTTATGGCATTTTGGGCGAGATTGACGAGGTCCAGGTTGGGCAGCTGTCCGTTGAGGCCCTCGATTTTCACGTCGACTGATGCTATCTTCATGGCATGAAGCTCGAGATTTATGGCAGCCTGGATGGATCCAGCTCGTCCTGTCAGATCACCCGGGTCTAGAACCTCTGCCTGACCACTGACAACACCGTGATAGGCATCCAGCCAAGCCTGCATCCCCAACTGCTCGTGCTCAGTCACCAGGAAGATGATGTCCTTCGCCCAATACTTCTGTCTTCTGCAGAATTTTGCGAATGCCAGGAGGAGGGCGATGGATGGGGCTGTCGTCGGGTGGACGCTGTTGATGGGTCGGAAGGGTACGGAGACGACTATTGACTCAGTGGAGGATGCCCTCGGGGCTCTGACGATTCCATATACATTTTGTCCTGTGAATTTGTGCCTCGAGAAGGGGTAATTCAGCGTAAAGTTGTGGGTGTAGACGTCCAGGTGAAGCTGATTGAGCTTCGCCAGGAGCCAGGCGTATGGCATGTTGTCTGGGTATCTCTGCATCTCGTCGACGAACTCCCGGTGATATCCGCGAGCTGTTTGCTCTAGGTTACTCTCTTTTGTGACGAGCCCCGGGAGGAGAGCGTTCTCCGAAAAATAAGCATCTGAAAATCATTAATTTCAATTTTTTTTTTTGCACTCTCAATTATCTCGGAGACTAGTGACTCTATCGAAAAAATAAAATAAACATTTTTTGGAGAAAATTTTGTCCTCTACAAAAAATTCCAATAATATTTTTCTCTAAAACCAGTCGTTTCTGAGATAATTAGGTGATTAATAGTGTCCAATTCGAATTGTTGGTGGTAATAATTTGCCTGACATTTCTTTTAATTAGTAATTAATTTTGTGCGAATAAAATAGGTGTTGCGGTGTTGATTACTCACTGTCATTGAACATGGGTGAGGCGAGCATCCCCATCCACACAACGCCAGAGATGTAAATAAAAAAACAAATGGACCTCTCCCATTGCAACAAGAACTTTATCATTTCGACGTTTCCAGCTCTGGGATCAGTCAGAAGTCCCATCCTTCCGTTATTTTTGGATTATTAATTACTCCAGAATTAACCTACTGATATGTCAACTCAAACCACTAGTCGATAAACCCGACGCCATGACACATGAAATAATCTCCAATGGGCTGCTCACGATTTGAGAATCTCCCGCGTCTTTTGGCGTACAACACAACCTTGAAACCAGTTGAATCGGTCCGGGCTACTGATCCACGTGTTCGCGAGTTTTCATACGGTTTTAATTACTAATTGAGTGAATGATGAGTGAGGAAGAGGGAAAAAATAGAGAGGAAATTCCCGAGTGCTCGAAAACAGCTGTTCTGGTGGAGAGTCGACCGCTCCCAGAGGATACGCCACAGGTCAAAGGTAAGTCCAAGATTTGCGAGGTTAACGTCGCGGAAAATAAACCTGGAATTGGTTTTAAAATGTTATCTCATCCTCAGGGTATGACTTCAATCGGGGAGTCGATTATCACGAGTTATTTGGGACGTACAAGCACTCGGGGTTTCAAGCCACGAATTTTGGACTTGCTGTTGAGGAAATCAACAAAATGCTTGACGAGCGGGAAAAACCGCTGGGGGAGGGACAAGATGAATATGAAGAGGATGAATTCATCAGGAGAAAGAACTCCTGCACGATTTTCCTGGGGTACACCTCGAATATGGCGTCCTGTGGAGTCCGGGAGTCCATTCGTTTCCTCGTGCAGCACAAAATGGTGATTTTTCAGGTTTTATTTTATTTATCGTTTGGTTTGATTTTTAATTGTTCCTTTTATGAAGGTCGATTGCATTGTGGCAACTGCTGGAGGGGTCGAGGAGGATATTATAAAGTGTCTGGGCCCCACGTACATCGGGAAATTCGAGTTGGAGGGAAAGGAACTGCGGGATCGGGGGATAAATCGAATTGGAAATCTCCTGGTACCAAATACTAATTACTGCCTCTTCGAGGACTGGCTGATGCCTAAATTGGATGCCATGTTGAAAGAGCAGGAAGAAAAAGTGAGAATTTAATTAAAAAAAATATTCTCCAACGATTCCTTAATAATAATTTTTGTAGGGAATTGTCTGGTCTCCATCGAAAATAATTCAAAGACTGGGGGAAGAAATAAATAATCCAGAGTCAATCTACTACTGGGCAGCTAAGAATAAAATTCCAGTGTTCAGTCCAGCCTTGACTGATGGCAGTCTCGGTGACATGATGTATTTTCACTCCTTCAAAAATCCAGGACTCATCGTAGACATCTTATCGGGTGATTAAATTACGCAATTCCAATTAAAAAATTGAGGAAGCGAATTTTTCTCCTCGAAAAAACCCTCGTGAATTTTTTATATTTCATTTCAGATTTGAGGAGATTGAATACGATGGCTGTGAAAGCTGTGAGCACTGGAATGATTATAATTGGGGGCGGCTTGATTAAACATCATATATGCAATGCAAATTTAATGGTAATACGTCTCATTAAAGACACAAATCATTTATTAAAATCAATTTTAATGCATTCCCCTGAATCTGCATAAAATATATGCGAAAATTTTTCATACATATTTATTCATTTCTAGAATCCACCTATAAAAAAAGGTGAAGAACTCAAAAGAAGCTAGTAAATGTAAATTCCAATTATCGATTTATCCCCAAAATAATTAATGTACAAAAAAAACTGAAGAACTTTTTTATAGAGCACTAAATTCCGGACAAAAATCATCTCTAGACATTTCCTTGAAAAATTCCTCGTTCAAATTTTTCCAGAGAAATGGCGCGAATTTCTCAGTATTCCTGAACACAGCCTCTGAGTTCGACGGGAGTGACAGTGGTGCACGTCCCGACGAGGCCATCTCCTGGGGTAAAATTCGGAAGGACGCAAATCCCGTAAAAGTAAGTCCCACCCCCGAAAGAAAAAATGGGGAAAAAAAATAGGAAAAAAACCTGACACATTGAATTGCAGATCTACGCAGAGGCGTCACTCGTGTTTCCTCTCCTGGTGGGTGAGACATTCGCCCGAAGATTCCACCAGAGAGCCTCAAACCCCTAATTACAATCCTACAAATCATCCCTCACCCCAGAAATCACCAGATGCAGTAAATTCAGGGTATCTGCGACTGCGCACCACCTGCAGCCCCCAGTGGAACAGGTGAAAGGTACAGGGTTGCAATGGGGGGTTGATAGAAACCGAGAAATACTCGAGTCTCAGTTGTTTCCCGTGAGGCCGCGCACGCGGACCGGCGTGAAAATTAAATTCATTATTTTACATCCCCCCCTTCTCCCTCGTATCCTCGTGATATTAAATAATCAATCGTTTTTCGATCGAGTTCTGTTGGTATTTTTTCCCTGTGGATATTATTACGAGTGAGGGGTGAGAGATGATGGACGTCGAGGAGGGCAACACAGCATCCACTGCTAGCTCATCACCGAGACCGTCGAGTCCTGCTGCGGATTCCACGTTCATCAGGTGAAATATTCCGTTAAATTCAAATAAAAATTTTATTCAATCGCAATTATTTAAATATCTATATATGTCCCCCTCCTGCTTTACCTGGAATTATTAATTTGCTGATGAGGACAATCGAGGCAATTAACTCCTCATTAACGATTGATAGAAATTTTGATCGCGACACTAGCCCCTCGATTATCCATCGTGATTATTTCCAATGGACAATTTCGATTCTCGGTGTTTCGGGTAATTATTCATGACTGAAAGATTAATTCACTCCCCGGAGGCGCGAGTCACGAAAAAATAGATGGGGTCTTGAAAGATCATTGAATTTAATTAACAATTACGTCGTTTTAATGCTTGAATTACATCGGGTATTAATCAAATGATTCGTCCTCGATTTTTTGTATTTCATTTAAATTTCATCCTCCGGTTGAATCTCCAATAGTTGAAAGACTCCGTGAGTAATGAAACTGATGAATTGAATTTTTCATTCCGTAAAATCGATACGACGAAGAAAAAGAAAAGATCTAGTCTTATCCAGGGGGCTATTTCCAATTCTGTCGAGCTCGATTGCTTTTAGATATCAATCCCTTGGTGGTAGATATTTCCGGTGATTTTGGGGGTGGGATGTGGGGGATGATGTGACCCGGTGAGTGATGGGATGCGGGAGTCATCTGTAACGAGAGTTGTCTTATTAATGTAAAAAGTACGGAGTGGAGAGCAGCCGAAATAGACGGCTATGAATAGTCGTCACGAATCTGTACTGCGATATGGTGGGGTGGGAGGGGGTGGAGGAGAAACTTATCGATTTGGAAGATCAATTTTCTGGAGGAACAGATAAATAACTCCAAGTCGATTTAATCCCTGTTTTGGGGGATTAATAAACGTTCGCATTACCAACTCAATATTGGGGGATTATTCTCTGGATTTTTTCCATCAATCCCCTCCTACGATGATGGAATATATATCAGGGGTGGTTTTCACCCTTCGATCTGTCCTCTGAAACAATAATTTCGAGACGTCCTGATAATGAAAAAATCCTCTGACCCACATTCACTCGAGGAATTTTCATCGATTAGTTAAAATATCTGGAGGTGTAAATTAGGGGTGGAGTTTATTGGGATATTTGGGGGTTGGTGTTGATTTTTATTTCACTCTCATCTGAAAACGATTCATCATCCATTGATGGAACTCGGCAAATGCAATATTTCCCTCGGGGTGTTTACGAAAAGAGAAATGAGAGAAAAATATGAGGGGATATTTTTTTTTTTCATCGCCCTGCACTCCACCCCTAACCTTGACGCCTCTCGCTCGCTTTGAAAGTGGGTCAGAGGCTTTTCTTCGGGGTGGGATAACACTTGAAGGACACGGGGTATGGGGCTGTCGATATTAATTGCGGGGGGGTGGTTTTTGTGGGGAGGGATAGAATTTTTGGGGGTGTTTCAGGGGGTTGTGTGGGCTTTTGGGGAGTGGACATTCTTTCGGAAAGTTTTTATGGGGTTCTCCGGGTAAATATTCGTTTTTGGGTCATCCAAGGGTTGAGGCCATCCCTTAAGTGGTAATAATTGTTGTCTTTATTTTTTTTTTAGTGTAAAAAGGGAGCCGAGCACTGAAGAGCCGAGCAGTCCCCTAGAGGCCAACAGCCCAGGCTCCATTCTCCGCAACAACGGTGAGTCAAAAAATCTAAATTTTCAATTAATCCCATGCATCCATAAAAAATAATTATCCAATTATTCCATAATCCGTCAATTCTCACTCATTCGCTCCAAAAAAAAAATACAAGTCTCCCCAAAAAATTTTGACGTGCGCCCCCAAAAAAAAATCTAGTGCCAACTTCACGCGGTGCGGCCATTTTGGTGTTACGAAAAAAAAATCAAAATGGCGGACTGTTGAGTGCGCAGTGTGAAAAGAAAAGCGTTGGGGGGTGGAAAAATTGGCGAAAAATTTGATGAGGATAGGGAAAAAGTGAAAATTTCATTCTCGTTGTAACTGAGAACCTCTGTATAGTAGGATGAGCCCAGTTGGTATAGTCACCTAGCGTTGGATCGATTGAAAAGCGCGCGGCAGCAAAAGCGCGCCCCTCCCTATTATGTTTTCTTCTTATCCCAGAGAGGATCCACAGCCTCCGGCTTCTTCATCTCCATTCCCTCAATCTCTTTTTTTGCATTTTTTTTCTGATTGTAATTTTCTCTCCCCCTTCCTCGTTTACTTTTTCCTCGACGTGCACTCGTTGTCATACCCTTCGCACCCCCTCTGCACCCCCTCCAGCCACCGGAAGTGGCGGTGTAATTGAATTCCGCTATTTTTTTTTCTATTGTTTTATTTATTTTTTTTTCCTTCGGGAAAAAATGAGATGGCGAGAGGAAGCATCTCGTGATCTGTGTCAAGGCACTGCTTTGAGCCAAAAGGGTCACATCAACCCCTCCTCTCGCTCATTTTTACACCCCTTTGGTGAGAGGAGCCACTCCACTCGTATTACAGTACCTGAAGAGGCGCAATTAATCTTGTTAATTGCGCGGAATCGTTGGATTTTTTATATTGACAGTTTTTACGCCCTCCGGAGGGCGAGAGGCTGAGAAAAAAATTTTTTCCCGATGTCCCTCAAGCCCTTGATGATATTAAAATTGACATCTTGCTATTTCGCCTCAAGCAGTGGTCATTTCCAATTTTTTAAATAATTTGCCGTGAGAATTTTCTACGGGAGAAAAAAAAACTAACGCATAAAATATCTCTTTAAAAATAAAATATCTAAAAAAAATGCCCCCCAAATCCCCAAAACTGCAATAAACAATATCAATTATAAATAATCCCAATTACTGGATCAATCGACATAAACAAATAATTTTTTTTTGTTTATAAAAAATAAATTCCGCTTTGAATAGAAAATTATCCTCGTTATTACCGAACGAAATGACGATTAAAGGCGGTGAAGTAATCGGAAAAATGGCTATTAAAAATAGAAAAAAAAATCAATGAGCTTTAATTACAATGAATCTATCTATTTTCCGTTTATTGTTTTTTTTTTTCTCATACGCAACCGAACGTTTGGTCATATAATACCGTAAGTATACATCGATACGCGAAAGTTATATGCACGGGATAGAAAGGGGAGTGAGAGGGGTGGGGAAGGGGGGAGGAAAGGGGGCATAGGATATGTAACCGGTTTTCCAGGTTCATTACTCTGTGCAAAGTTGTATGCGCGCATCTCCTTTACTGTGGCTTGCCCAAGCCACCATCAAACTTAGTCACGCACAAGAACACATAGAGACATAGGTAACAACTATAAAAATTTTTAAACACCGAGAGATGATTTTACCCAGTGTAAAGAGCCTTTTCATCCCCCCGTTTGCTTTCACTCCGGGCATTCGATCTCTCGGGAATTATTTTATTATTCAAAATTATCACGAGTTTAGCGTTACTTTTATGATTTTAAATCAAACTCAAAATTACCAGGAATGAGTTTATCAGGAATTAATGCAGATTATTTATTGATTTCCGGTTTTGATACTTTAATCAGCGAGAGATGTGGCGATTTAATTATTGCTGGAAGTCATTAAAGTCGGGAAATCGCGGAATTTTTAGTTCTGGAGATGAGATATTTTGTTAATTGAGTTGTCATTTGGTCGATGTGAATTTTAAGTAAATTTTAAGTAATTTGTTATTTGATCAGGATTAATTTTTGTGGGATGGGGTAATTCTGGGGAATTATTTCTGGAATGTGGGGAATACACGGAGAATAATAATTTGCGCGAATTGCGATGATTTCATGCATTTAAATGTGGATTTTTTTAAATACATTCTCTTCAGGAGTTGAATAGAGGGGAATCTTGTAGACAGTGGAGATTCAATAAGATTATGAATTTCTGAAGAGCGGAAGACGACAGTCCCACAACTCCCAATGAAAGCATGAATATTCACCCGCGAATTAAATTAACTTTCAAATTACTCCTAAATTCCATTACAATTCTCCTCTCCAAATAATCCAAAATTGAGTCCAGATTGTAATCCAAATTTGCCAAAAAATTTCCAGGGCGATAAATCCCTGAAGATTCCCCCGGGAAAATTCAAAAATCCGATATGACACCCCCTGACCCCGGGAATCCCCGAATTACCCCGGATAATTCCCAAAATGCCATTCCAAAAAGAATTCACCCCCACTACCCAACGAATTCTCAACCTCCAACACGGATGAAAGCCAGTGGTGTTCGGGTGTGCTCGGCACATCTCGGTCAATGAACCTATCCCTCGCGGCTTGGTGAACCCAGTTGGTCCACTAGTTTCCCCCACCTCCATGGAGCCACCCAACAGTATCAACCACATCCACCTTCCCTCCGGCATCGTAATACCTCTTTGTCGCACTTGCTTCCTTCGTTCATTTAATACCCACTCACCCCCTACCTCCTCGCACCCCCTCCCTCTCACATCCACCCCTTCTTTCTCCCAATCCCCCAATCCCCCAATCCCCCCAGTCGTCCCTTCTCCTCTTTCCCTCCTTTTCCCTCCTTTTCCCTCCCTTTATCTCCCTTTCCCTTCCATTCCCTTCCTTTCCATTCCTCACCCTCCCCCGCGTACCTACCACCCTACCACCCTCTCCATCCCCCCATTTTTTTTTTTTTTATTTTTATTTGGTATTATCGTCCTTATTTCTCTCCACTTGTTTCCACACTCGTTTTATCCTCTCTCTTTATCCCTCCCTCCTCGAAGTGGCTGTGGAGGGGATTCACTCCCTCCTTTTACTGACAGATACACGAAACGTTTTCGTAATGTCTGTGGGTATGGGTGTGTGCACACAACTGGGGGGGAAAAACTCTCTCGAGGAGAAGTTGCAATGCCGTAACATACCTAGACCGCTGGTTTGTACTTACCTCACAGGTAACGCGGGCCTCGAGTACCTCGCGCAACTGTCCCGCGGCTCCGTCGTGTGCGCGTGTGCAATTTCTCTTTATGATTGGAGATTTGTTTGGAGGGGGGTTGGTGAATATTTTTTGGTTGGTGATGTGGGATTAATTGTTATTGCTGTTTGAGAATTTTGTTTGTTGTTGATCGGTTCGTGACTGCTTGCTGACTGAGTACTTACTCATTGTTGATCGGTTATTGATTGATTATTGATTGATTATTGATTGATTATTGATTGATTGTGGAGTTGAGGTGTGGGGAGGGCGGGTGGATAGGGGTTGAGAGGGTTCTGGGGGTTGGCCATTTCCCATTGACAATTCATCAGGGTTCGTGCATTTTTGTTTTTTTTTTTTCAATGACACGTGTCTTCTGGGGGTCGGCTCTTTGTGGCGGATTTTAGGGTGACGTTTTGCGAATTTTTGGACGTCAGTGAATTTTTTTTTGAGGGGATTCCTATGCCCCAGTGGCTGGCCCTCACCGGGCGAATGTGGATTACTCTAGGTAATTCTCGCGAAATTTCGATTTTTAAATAAAATTCAAAAATATATTCGGAATATATTTTATGTAGAGCAAGGATTAATAAATAGCTAGGATATAAATAAAAATTATATAAACATATATTAATACATGAATTCCCATATATTTTTTAGGATCCACCGGTGATTCATTTCGTGAGTCCCAAAATAAAATAGACTCTCTCCAAAAAAATTGTCTCTGCATTAAAAAAAATTTTTGTATTCGGAATTTTGGGCATTCGGAATGATCCCGTGGTCAGGATATATATAAAGAATTATAGGAATATATTCTGAGGGAAATAAGGCCCCGAATTTGAATTATCAAAATTCATCGGTGAATCAGATAAAATAATTTCTCGTTTTAATTTTGATATTTGATATAATTCGTCTGAACCGAAGTCGTGAATCCCGTGAATTTTTATCGATTCAGTGAATTTTTTATCATTTATTTATAAAAAAAAAATAACCAGGTGAACGCACTCACTCGTGACGTGTATGGAACGCGGAACCCCGGGCGTTGCACGAGACAAATGATCGTCTGCTGGGCCGCAAAATCACCATTTAGATTTGACCGCACGATCTCCCAAGATTTCCTCAAAAATCCAATCATAAAATTGAGCTATCAAATTCGGCCATTGACCCCTGAGCCCAACTCAGCCACTCGTCCCCAAAAAATCCGTCAAATTCCAAATTCCCATTTTTTCAAATTGATTAATCAATCCCCAAATAATTCCCCCAAATCAATTCCTCATTTTCCAAATGACTTTCCCAATTTTATTATCATCCCAGCTTTATTATCATCTCCTCATTGACACCGCGAAGATTAAATTAAAAATTCAAATGAAAATAATTTTTTTTTTTGTAATTAAGTCATTGTAAATGGCCGGTCAATGGGGTGGGGGGAAATTGTAATCGAAAAGTTTGAGCAGACGTTGAACATGAATAAATGAAGGAGAGATATCCCTGGGGTTTTGCGGCCTTCCATGATGAAAGGGGGGCGGAGTGAGGGGAGGGGGACAGAACAGAACAGAACAAGCTTCTTCGAGAAGTCAACGTCCGAAGATTACGGCAATGACATTCACTTTTTCTCACCAACTTCTGCGATTATTTTTTTTTTCTCTTTTCCGCCTCTCGGATTCATCATCTCGAGACCATTCTCTCCAACGGGAGGTCAAAACCGTCAGCCCCTTGGGCCCCAGTCTCTCAGAATTTCAGGAATCGGGGGAAATAATTGAAAAATAGATGAGACAGATAAAAAATCGATGATTATGCAATCGCACTGAATTGATTAAATTTTAAATTCAAAGTTATTTCCAATTTTTCTTGAAATTTTCTCGGTGTTTCGGGATTTCAATATTTTGGGAAAATTCATTTCAAAAATTGATGAGACAGATAAAAAATCGATAATTATGGAATTGCTGTGAATTGATTAAATTTCAAATTCAAAATTATTTCCAATCTTTCTTGAAATTTTCTCGCTGTTTCGGGATTTTAATATTCTGGGAAAATTAATTAAAAAAATTGATGAGACAGATAAAAAATCGATAATTATGCAATTGCAGTGAAAGCAGTGAATTATAAAAATTCCAAATAAAAAATGACGTCCAATTTTTCTTGAAATTCCAGCGATGGAACACGGGGTGAGAATTCCATCACGTACCGTGAAAAACTGGCGGACGTGACGAGAAAAAAAATTCTATGTATTTATTTCGGGTAAAAAAAAAAAACAGTGCACCACTGGAAGATGGGCTGAGGGCCCAAAAGTACTTAAAAAAAAAATAGCTGAATAATTTTGATAGTTCAGTGATGGAAATGTGATTGAGACGGTGAATGAGAGATGACAGTTTGTGATTCAGTGGATGTGGTGATTTATTTGAATAACGCGGGGGTGTGCCTGGAATATTTGGATAAAGAGGTTGGACAATGGATGTTTTTAAAATTGATCAGTCGTTAACGGCTGGACTAGGAAGCGCACCGGCACCAGACACACTCACACCGGATGTGTCGTTTGATGCCGGAAGTGAATTCAATCTTAGTTTCTTCGATGGTCCAGAGGATAGTACTCAGGGCTTCAGTGATCCTGGCTCGGTTGGTAGTGCTAGTGCATCACCACCACCTGGTACACCAGGAAGTTTAACCGTTACACCTTCAAATGCCAATTTGCCACTAGTGCAGGTACCCTCCGGTATCGTCATTAAGCAAGGTCCGTTTTTTATTTATTTTATTATTATTCCATCATTATTTTATTATTATTCCACCCTTCACCCCCCACACATCTTAAAAATCATTTATTTTTTTCATCTCTCTACAACTCAATTGCAATAAATTAAATATTCTTCATTAATTTATATTATATATCAGTATCTTCAATTTCAAATTTCAATTATTCAAGAATCATTCATTTTTTTGATTTCTCCAAAAATTTTACATTCCAATTTTTTTTGAATTCGCGCAATCGATTTTTAAACATCGAGAATTTTTTCGCGGAAAATTTTCCTTTTTAGTTTAACGAGTAACGGGGAACGGGAATTGTCGATTGAATTTGTTGTGAGGATGAAATTTTCCTCGATTGTTGAATAAAGAACCGGAGAAATGGAAAATGCCAATATTTGAGGGGAGAAATGGAGTTGTTGAGACGTCGTTTATTCAAACGTCACAAAGTATACCGGATCTGTTATCTCCGGTCGTTAATTAATCGTCGGATAATTAATTTAACGATTTCATTTCTGGGTTGTGACTCTGGGCATTCATCCTGTATTTATACGTGTAATGCGAATGGGAGACCGAAAAGCGAGTCTCAAATGGATTATGTTACGGTGCGATGGAATGGGAAGACAGAATCAGAGGGAATGAGTCCCTTTCACTCGGGGGCTCTTTTATTAAAATACTCTGGTGTAATGTACACCAGAGGCGAATCCATTTTTTAGTCAATTAGGTTTTTTTTTTATTTCGGTTGAAATGGGTGATGGGGTAGTTGTCGCCTCATTTCTTCCGAATTTAACTCATCATTCAGTTTCGGGGATGATCGCGAAGAGATTTAATTCGTTGATGATTTAATAGATCATGATTTAATTCGTTTTCTTTGACTCCAGCCCTCGTCAGTGTAATTATAATTAAATTAATTGAGACGAATTAATTTTTCTGTCGAATTAATTAATCCAAATATCCAAATCACGACTGAGGGGGGAAATGAAAATTTTTCGTGGGTCAAATATCGTGGGATGAATTGTTTAAATATTTCTAAAAAAATTTTTTAACTCAAAAAATCGCGGGATATTTCGAGCGAATGCGCGCGCAGGACGCGCGAACGATCTCGATCTTAAAAACGTGACCTATTCAGGAGGAAAAAAAACCCTAACGAGCAGAAATATAAAAACTAAAAAATCATGGATGACCGATTTTGATTGAAATGAAACAAGTCCTGAAAATATTCCCCCAAAATTCAATCTCTCCCCCGATTAAAATCTCCACAAGCGGTCAAGGTCTGCAGTTACAACCGATAAATTCCAACGACTTTTCACGAAATCCCCTGTAAATTTCTCCCAACAATTCTGAGTAAAACGTGAATAAATTACCGAGGAATATCCATTCATCAGTGCATAACACGTACGTTATTATTTCAGTGTCAGGGTCGTGCATACGTGCGCAGCACTAAAATCAAGCACCCGAAAGAAAGTCCCAAAAATCCTATTACACAACAAAATTTTTATAACGACACCAACCAATACAGACATATGACGGGTTTTACCCGGTGGAATGAGGGGGAGAGAAGGTTTAAAATATCCAAACCGGTTCAAATCATTAAATTTACATCTTCCCATCCTCACATGTATTCAATCTGTGTACAAACCTCACTGATGGTAACATATAGTTGCACTGTGACTCATCCAGGTGCATTGCCCCATCACCTTCCCTCCACCACATCAATTATCACCTCAAAATTAATACCCCGACGAATCGCAAAATTCCCCCAAATCATCAAAAATCATCTGACTCACTCGTTCCAAATTTTTCCTTTTTTTTTCTCTCTGAATTTTTTAAATGGAATTGACAGGCATTTCTCGAAAGGCAGTCTTCACTCTGAGTTATCGATCTTCCTTCGATCATTATCAATAATAATAATTGCATTCATACCCCTCCCATCTTCTTTTCATCACGTATTCTTGCCCCCTCGGAGGTGCAATGAACTCGACTCAAGTACGAGGGAATAGTGTATATCATCGTGCATTGGTTGGCGAATGCTACCAATACGAAACCACCACTGACTTAACCATCACGAGTCACGAGCACACACACAGATTATAGGGCTCTATCGTGTATGTAAACTGTGTAATGATTGTATCTCCATCCTTGTTCGAGTACCGCGCCTCGTGGGTAAGTGGTCTATTGCATAAGTGTCGAATAATAAAATCGAGTTATCGGATAGAAGTTGGGTGTAATGATCGTTGGTGGTTTGAGAATGATTGGGCGGGTTGTTTTGATGGCTGGGGTACTCAAATTGATGAAATCATTTGCTAATCGTTCGGTGAAATCGTTCAAGTCATCGTGATCAGGGAAATTCATGAATCAGACTCCTTGTTATCGGTATTGAAACAACACTCATTATCTTTTAATGATTGACTCAATGAAATCACGCGATTATCACGAGTCAAATGATCTGAGTCAAATAATCTGAGTCAAATGATCTGCGTCAAGTGATCTGAATCAAATCATCTACAATTTATTATGACAGTTAAAGCCGCTGAATCCATGAGATAAAATTACTCAATCTCTTCTAACTCATAAACTAAAATCATCCGAATCATTGAACAATTCAAGAGTGACACCCCTCCCCCTCATATCACGTGAATCATCCCCACCTGATATTATTCCCTAGCTCACTCCCCCCAAAACTCAAAACCCAATCAATTAACTCAGCAAACTCCCGTCTAACGCTTGAATTCCCCGGAATTCCTGACCTGTCCCAAGGTATCTCCATCCTCTAAAAAGAAAAAAAAAGGCCCCGGCCGGGAAAATTGGGAAAAAAAAAGGCGCGTTAACCCAGTGAGGGGTCCCTCGCCCCATACCCGAGAATAAACTTGTGTTCCGCATTGCAATATTAGACGATCTAATTTTAGTCCCTCCAGCGTCACATTCCCCTTTCTCCATCTGTCTCTCTCATCGTATGTCTCCTTTCGCACGAAAGTGTTCCAAGTGTTTAGTTTAGTCATCCAACCTGGCTATCCCTGTCATCCCCCTGCCATCCCCCTGCCACCCCTTACCACCGATTATATATAGAGGGGAAAATTCTTGAAGGACCGAGGAGGGGCGGTGACATCTTCAATGGTTTTCGCACAGACTAGAGTGTGTTTATATTCGCCAACGAGCCGGTGTAATTAAACTCTCCTTATAGACACGATAAACCCCGTCCTACCGTGTGGTACAGCTGCATCATTTTGGGATGTACCATCCGGAGGACATTTTATTAATTAACTCCCTGGGTATTGATCCGAGTGCTGGGGGGATTAAAGGACATTGGGTTGTGGGGG